TCCTTGCTTTTGGTAGGATGCTCATGTCTGCTTCCATGTTGCCTCCTAGGGAAAGACTAACTCCCTGTTGCAATAGAGAAATCTCTGTGGACCATGCCAAGCTATGGGTATGGTGGGAAGGACGTAAGAATCATAATGAAATGATGGCAGTCAAGAGCTGAGTGCTTACCCTGTACAATCATGGAGGCACATGCTCCATAAGCTACCACCCAGTCTTGCTAAACATTGCCAGGTCTTGGAATTTGTCCATCTTGCCATTTTGCTGAGAATGGCATTTTCTGAAATTTGATCAACATTTATCTATTTCCACAAATTAGGAAGGTCTACATTTTATTATAAAGAGAAAAAGCTTGTCTCCATCTTATTACACTCATTATCTCAGTGAGATGAGTTTATTCATATGCAAGTTGCCTCCACCTTAAGCTTATTACGTCTGTTTTTTTAAAGACCATGTGACCAGGAACATTTCCCAAGAGAGAGTTAGCTGGTAATTATTTCTCCTAAATATGAGAGTGCCTTCTATTACTTTGTCAAAATGCTGTTATACCATTTTGCATAAAATACATTCCTGAAAGTCCCTTAATCTTGTCTTTGATTATTGCTACTATGTCTCTCTTTTGTTAACACAATTCGTTTTTAGACATGAATTGGTTAAGGAGAACTGACTTGGCTTCAACTTTATGTGTTGATTTATTCTGAGATTCAACACACAGTAAGTGATCAGTTAGTGAGAGCGGTACGTACTGACTAGTGATGCTGATGGAGCAAAAAGTTAGGCTTAATGGACTAAAGAATCACACAGGTATCATAGAGACTCGGAATTGATTTGATCAATGAAAACTGGAAAATAGGTTTTGATGAATGAGAAAATATGAACCACCTAAATGAAGACAGCTTTGGTGTGCTTAAAAGAAGACCATTTCAGAATGCTATCAAATCTCACACTGAGTATCACTGACATCATAGTTCGCTAAAATCATCTTCCAAATACTTTAGCAAATCTTGTGGATGTGTTACATTTGTGTGATCATAGACTGATTCTGATCTCTGCTCTCTTCTACACCCCCTGTGCGCACGGGCAAAGTTCACACTCTTTCTGTCTGGTTTAGGTCCAGAGTATCCTTTAGGGATAGATTTGCAGCACTGTGTGACCTTTTCCTCTGCCCAATCTTTGCTTCTTTTATTATTCTGAAAGTATTGTCCCCTGAAGCAAGAGAAAGCACCTAAACAGTATGAAATAAATGTGTCTAGAAAGTTAATCATCTTGTAAAGTATTAAATGATCAAGCAGTTCATATGAATGTATTTTTAAAAATTTGCTTTTTAAAATTTTATATGTGTGTGAGAAAACATATTTTATTATTTGTGCTTGATCAAGGTTAACTTAAAAGAAGCAAAATGGAGGGAATCAACTTTGATTTAGTTTATATAAGGTTGAAATTTATAATAAGATAGATAGTTCACTGGTAAATCTTAAAGGGTTTATGCATAGAAATATATGTATACATGTTTTACAGAAAGAAATGCAAGGGTTCTGAGTGAGTACCTTTTCTCCCCTCCTCAGCTCTGGGACAGTTGTAGGATTTGCTTTGCTTAAAAGATATTCCTAGCCCAATGGTTATGTTAATGTTTTCAGATTGATGTATTTTCCTGTTCTTAAATAGATTTAATAGGAAACAGAGTGACATCTCATTTCCTATCCTCAATCCCAGCAAGACAAACTCATGTTACTCATAAACCCCAGTTCAATCCTTTCGATCTGTTGGAGAAGTTTTGGGAGTTTCTTTGAAAAATAATAAATAAAATGGGATGCTTTATCATCCCATTATAGGGAAGTCAGGAAAGTGTATTATTTGGACCCTCGAATGTCAACTTCTTCACAGAGTGTTTTCTTAGTATATTTAGCTTTAGGATACAGGCATCTCCCTGATACTTGGTGATGGTTTAAGTAAGTTCGATGGCTTAAATTAGTTTAGTAGTTTACCTCTTGATCAGTGGGTACTAGAATTATTACTTTCGCAGAAAAGTCTTTCTATATGATTTTTTTTCATTATTTGGTAAAAATTTAAATATTTTTGCCAAATATTTTAATGAAATTAAAAATGGAAATTTCAAAAAAAACTATGCATATTCTGAAAATCTCAGTCAGAATCCCATTTAAGGAGTTGAAACACCCAAAGTCTGGATTCTGGAGATTCTGATTGTCAGGGGAACATTAATGGTTAATGTCTTTCCAAGGCTTTAACTGGGAACTTTCCTGTACACCAGGATAGCTTTTCCCATGGAATAGCCTCTGTCCAACATCTGTGTGATGAAGGATACAAGAGTCGAAGCCTGTGTTTTCTACTGAGATAACTGTTGGGTGAGTGGGCTGTGGGGTTTATTATATGTTTCAGAACTGTTTGGCAGACTCTCAGCTCTGCTTGTGTGGTGGCCCTGCCACTCTCAGTTCCCCTTAGCTGGTTTCCAGGAGCACATTCCCTAACATTCCTATAGGAAATATTCTCTCTCAAGACATTGCTTCACAGTGGGTCATTTAAATTCAGGTGTTTAAATAGATTTATTCTGGAGTTAGCAAGACTGAGGTTGACATGACTACAGGGTTGATTCTTTTAGTCAGCATTTTAAGCATGTTGATATTTTCATCTTTCTTATTTTTAAAAACACATGTACTATTTTGTTACTTTAGTTTTTCACTGTATGTTCCTGAGGTATAATTTATTCAGTGAAACTCAGCATTCTAGTGAACAGGTATACCATGACTGGTATACTCATCTAACAATAATCACAAAGTATAAAAGGCTTACACTATATACATACAAACACACACACACACACACACAAACAAACACAAACACAGACACACACAGACAGACAAATTTCTTTATGTGCTCTTGACAAACAATTAGTACACATCTCTTGGCACATTTTGGGGTGTTGGGGATTGAACTTGGGACCTTTGTATGCTAGCCAACCACTCTACTTCCATCCCCCCATATTTTTTTGTTCTGATTATAGACTTGTGTTCAAAGCATATATATTTTTAGAATATTTTCCCATTCTGCAGTGGCATTTTAATTTTCATAAGACCTGCTTTCAAAGAAGTTTCAAATTATTTCTAAAAAACTAAAATATCTCACCTGCCTGATTCTTATAGCACTATTCAAGGTATGATATGAGAAAACTCCATGATTGCTAAAGGATGAGTTGATACATAATTTGGCATGTAAAGACACTCTAGCACTACCTATCTATCCCTTTAAAAGAGGGAAATCTTGTGGATTGTGATAGAAGAGATGACCAACCTTGGAGAAGCTTATGTTAAATAAGCCAGGTGCAACAGAACATTTAGGTGCAGACTATAAAGAAGACAATCATCCTCAAGTAGAGAGGACAATGTTTACCAGAGCTAGGAAGTGAGAGAAGAGAGAGCGGCAAGACAAGCGCTAAAGAGCACCAGGCTCCAGTAACTGGGTGAGGGGGGATAAGTCTATCATCTCTGTTACCCAGGAGGAAACCACAGTTAATAATAATGAACTGTGCATTTCAAAATTGGCAGAAGAATATATTTAGCTTCTAATTTCAAAAGCTTTCCTGAGGTGACAGACATGCTAATTTGCTTGATGTAAATATTTTCAATATATACATAGGATGAAAGCCTCACATTGTACCCTATAGAATTTATGGAATGAATATTTTGTCACTTAATTTAAAATCTAAAAATATTTAAAAACTTGACTCAGCTCACTCATGATGCTAAATACACAGCTATCTACTGTCTCTGAGAGTAGGACATAAAAACATACAAAAAACTCTAGCTTTTGGTGAAACAATCTATAAGCGACAAACAACATAGCTTATTTCTAAATCCTCTCATGAGTTTCTTCTAATAGTCACAAAACAAAAAATTATTTTTTTATTTTTAATCTTTCATAAATTGAAATGAGCATTAAGTGCAATTTTGATTACACTGGTTTTAACATTCTTTCACTGTAGTTTAGATGACAGTTCAGAAGGCCTTTGTTTTTTCTTTCTTTTGTTGTTTATTTTTGTTTCTTTGTTTTATCCTTAAATAGAAGTGAAACTTGATCTGATATATGTTAGAGACCCAAATGAAAATTCAAAATATCTTAACCCAGACACATAACATGATTCAAAAGTAGAAAATCTGGTAATAAACTTAGTAGAATCTTTCAAGAAAGCATACAGCCAGGACCAGGAGACAATATTTAACAGCTTCGCAGCTCATGAGCAGAGAACGATCTTGGGTTGTTCAGCCATGCAGATGTTGCTGAATTTGAGTTTGAGCTCGACGTTCATTATCAGTAATCAGAGTAAGTCTTACTGTCTCTCTGCTTTTCTGAGTAGAGAATCTTAGAAATGATGAAATTAAACAATTCTGACATTCCCAGAAGTAGACACTCCCTTTGTGGATTCCAGCAAGTCCACTGGCTTCTATTCAGAGGAATGAGATACCTATTCCCATTTGAGAACAAAAAACCATGAGATAAGATTAGTTTTAAAATGTTTCCTTATGAAAATGATACTTTCTAAGGGAACCAAATAATTGATGAACAAAATCACTCTCCAACAATCCAATTCATTGAGCCTTCCAGAAACAAGAATCTTCCTTGAGAAAATATGAATATTATATATGGTGGACATGATAGAAAGAAATTGGGAATAATGTTCAACGGCCAAGACCTCAGAGAGAAATTAGGTTGTTTTTCTGAATTCTTGCTAAAGAAGACAGTCATGCTATTGAAATCTCTTAAAATGAGTAAGGAGCAGGGAGCACTGCTCATCGCTGGTGAACTTAAAGTCATCACGGCTGCGTTCCCTGTGAGCTCTTCCTACTTAAAAATCAATATGCACCTGAAGACACTGTGCATGCATGAACTCAAAGTATTGCAAGTATATCCTTCTGTAGAAAGGCTACATCGAATCAATACTATTTAATCTCTTTTGGTGGTGGATTTCATGACTTAGAAATTCTTTGCAGTGCTCACTTCAGCAGCACATATAAGAAGATTGGAATGATTTAGGGAAGGTTAGCACAGCCCCTGTACAAGGATAACTTGCGAATTTGTGAAATTCCATATATTGTGGTCACCAAGTTCCCCACTCAGGTGGAGAAACCCTTGATCAACCACAGGCTACATAGTCCAGAAGATTAGAGAGGGAACAGAAACCAAGGAATCAAATACTTACCCAACAAAGTCATACCCAGAAATGGGCACATGGACCAATAATGACCACAAACCAAAATGTCCAGATGCCAGTGAAGAACATAACAATAGCAAGGGCAATATATCACCAACAGAGCACAGAAATCTTACCATAGAACCTTCTCAGTATTCTGAAACAGTTGAAGCATCAGAACAAGACCTTAAAACCAACTTTGTAAAGCTGGTAAAAGTTCTTAAAGAAGAAATGAATAAATCTCTTTTAAAAAATCAAAGAAAGGCCAGGCATGGTGGCACAGGCTTTTAGTTCAATCACTCAGGAGGGAGAAGCCGGCTATTCTCTTTGAGTTTAAGGCCAGTCTGCTCTACAGAGAGAGTTCCAGCTCTGCAAGGGCTACACAGAGAAACCATGTCTCAAACAAACAAACAAAACCCAAAACAAACAACAAAACAACAACAAAAATCCAAAACAAAAGTACCCCAAACAAAACAAAAAAGCAAAGCAAAACAACAAGAACACTCCCCCAAATCAACAAAAAGAACTAAAAACAATTTTTAAAAGCCCAAAAAGGAAAGGAAAAACAAAAAACTGGAGGAAATGAATAAAGCTCTCAGAGAAATTTAGAAAAAGAAACAGTTGAAGGAAATGACTAAAAATATTCAAGACCTGAAAATAGAAATAGAGGCAATAACAAAAATACGAACTAAGGGAATTCTGGAAACAGAAAATCTAGGGATACGAACAGGAATTGCAAGTGTGAGCGTCACCAACAGAATACAAGAGACGAAAGAGAGAATCTCAGGCACTGAAGAATATGTGATATAAGAAATAGATACACTGGTCAAAGAAAATGTTAAATCTAAAAATTGCTGACACAAAACATCTAGGAAATCTGGGATACTATGAGAAGACCAAGCCTAAGAAGAATAGAAAGGAGAAGAATCCCAGCTCAAAGGCCCAGAAAATATTTACAACAAAATCACAGAAGGAAACTATCCTAACCTAAAGAAGAAGGTAGCTATAACAGAATACCAGAGATTAGACCAGAAAAGAAAGTCTTTTTTATCATGTAATAAATATACAGAACCAAGAAGGAACATTAAAGTTGCTAGGGAAAAAGATGAAGTAACTTATAAACATAGACTATTAGAATTACACCCAACTTCTCAGTTGAGACTCTGAGTCAGAACAGATGTCCTGCAGACTCTAAGAGAGTGTCTGGTAGTTTGGGCTGGCATCTATCTGAGTTCACTGACATAGAGAAACAATAAGGACCAATTATTTTCAATTCCTGTTATTTTGTTGTTGTTGTTGGTGTTGTTGTTGTTGTTGTTGTTGGTGGTGGTGGTGGTGGTGGTGGTGATGGTGATGGTGGTGATGGGGTATGTGTGTGTGTTTGTGTATGTGTGTGTATGTGTATTTCCTGTCTTTTTATTTTAAAATTATTTAGTATCTTTTAATGTCAAATGACACAGATTCCAGCCTAAACTACCAAGAAACCTTTCAATTATCATAGATGGAAAAAATAAGGTATTCCATGATAAAGTCAAATTCATAGAATACATATCTACAAATTCAGCCCTACAGAAGATACTAGAAAGAAAACTCCAACTTAAGAAACACACACAGTGAAAACACAGGAAATATATGATCTCATACCAGCAAAACCAAAAGAAGGGAAACACACACTGCCCTTTGTCATGATTGCCTTGGTATGGAGCACGTAAGGATGCTGTGCAGGATTTTGGTATTACAACATATAATGATGAGGAAAAGTGGGAAGAAATAAGATCTTAAATATTAAACCATCTTCGCATTCATAAAAAATAAAAGAAAGAGAAAACCCATTTAACAATTACTATTAATAGACTGTTAGTTTTATAAGATTTAAACTATTAATTAAAATCTCAACATCTGTCATGTTTACCTGTCACCTATAAGAAATGGATTGCAGTATAGTCTCCTTGGTGAACTTTAGTGAGCATGGAGAACTAATGTGTTGTGAGGTACGTGGTCCTCAAATGTCAAACAAAGTTGTTAAGGAAATAGGTTCCCTGGTTCTTATCTCAAGAACTGGCTAGGAATGTAGATGTTTATCAAAGTTTAGAAATGATATTCTGTCTTGTTTAAAGCATCAGTCTTGAACACTATCTGATTAGTTTTAGTAAAGTCCAGGATTGTTTCTTTCTTTCTTTTTTTAATCTTCTTGATAAGTCTTCATTCTCTGCAAAATGGAACTAAAATTTAGCTTTCTATTATTAGTCTGGTAACAAGGTTTCAATTTAGCTTTTCTGTGCTTGCTTTACTTTCCTCTAACCCTTTCTACTCAAGCAAGAATATTTAATTGGCATTCCTGACATCATCTGAGAGCTTATTAAAGCAATGGGATTTCAGGCCCCATTCTACATCTACTTAACCCCAAATCTCCATTTTGTACAAGAGCCCCAGGAGATGATATGCATATTACAAGAAGCTAGAGTCTCTAGGACAGCATGTCACATGACAGCTACCCACTGTCATCAAACTGAAGTCCAACTCTTACAATCTGCCAATTGAACCTCTAACTGACTGGATATACAGACTATTTTGAATTTTATTTTATTTCAATTGGTTATATTTTAATGTAAGCAATTATTGTTTTAAGATTAATTTAACTTACTGAGTCATTTATTTAGCTCACAGAGTTGATTTGAACAAAACTATTCTTCCTGATGCATAATAATGTAATTTTACACAAATAAATTATTCTGTCTTCTCTTATAAATTTTTTTCTGAATGCATGTGTATGTGCTATCTTTAGTTTATACTTTGAGGTAGTTACTACAGCAGACTTATTAAGTGTATTTTTAGATATCTTGATACTCTTGAAGAGATGATTCCTGTATGAATTTTGAATGTTCACAACAAAGAAATGCTCAATAAACATCAGTTGATTAAGTGTGTGTTTGTATTATATATATTACATATATATTACAATATATAATACATAATATAATATATATTATATATTATACATTATACATTATATATATATTCTAGAATGGTGACTATACATACAGAGAAAGAGACTGAAACAGAACCACCATGCTAGAAGTCCCAGCCCTTATTGAAGCAATCATTGTGTTCCAGTAAATATCAATGCATCATAAGGATATGTGATTGTATTTTGAATTTTGTAAGAGGCATGTCTAGAAAATACTTGAATTCCACGGGCCAAACTATTCCTTGAGGTGATGATTGTATTTTTGCTATGGGACAGAAAATAGAAAGTCTGACCCACATTTGCAACTGAACAACACAGTGTAACACAGTCAAACTTTTAGGCAATTCTGAAGAGCAAGTCATTTGTAATATCAATTCCAATAATTACGTTACTCCATGAAGTGATTCAGCAACTAGTCCTGATGGAGTGGTATTCCATTTTCTGTTGACGTATCTTCTCTGCCAATACTATCTTTAGCATCCTCACTGCTTATCAGGAGAAGCAGCCATAAACACCATTTCAGTAGTGTTCCATTTAATCATGACCACACCCATGACAATTAAGCCTTACTATCTATTCAGTGAGAAATTAAAATGAATTTGCTATGCATTCCTTGTCCAGAAAACGTGGTATTATATTTAGCAGTTCTTCCAGACTGTGCCATTTCATTGCATTAACAAATTCTATGTATCTATGGCCTCCATAAATCTTATGTATTTTAAAGTTGGACAAAAAAGCAATGTTCTTAGTTTCTAAGCTGTAATGTCCTGTCCTGTCTTTTCTTTCAGAAGGTTGTGAAAATGTACTATACTTTGTCTCCTGCTTCTAATACTGTGCCCATCTGTTCTGCAATAAATCAGGTGTTTAGTGTCCCCTGCTTACAGACAAACATGCCACCAGATTCCATAATATGGACTGAAACAGAATGACACAAATATTGAACTACACAGTATAGTCATCTCATATTTTATTAAGGATCTTAATTCAAAGTCTCTGAAACATAAAAAAGTTTTAATGGAGACAGCATCAATGCAGCAGAGATAGGATATCATTAAGCCCCAGTACTAAAATATTCACGAAGCATTGGTGTTTTCTGCAAACAATAAAGCTCATCGCTTTCTATGCAGTTGTTTCAATTAAAAGCAACAGTAAGCAATGGCCTCAAACTACAAATTCTATGTCTATATCAAATCTTGACTGTATTGGTTAATTTTAAATTTTAGTTGTTTTAAATTTTTCATTCATTTACGTTTGTAAGGACTATTGTGCATGAGTATTTGCAGATATTGGAGCATGTTTGTAAAGTGAGCTAGAAGTATCTATCTCTGCCCTCATACAGAATAGGAGGGAGAGTTGAAATGCCTCTATGTGGGGGTTTCCTTGTAAAACACAGCCTATGGCAGGCAATCATGGCGGGATGTGGGTGGACTTCCTATGCATGTATTTCCCAGGAAGGCTTTATTTAAATGTTCTGACGAAAACACCCTGAGTTGTTAATTTTATTTTTGACTTTGTGGTTTGTAATTTTAAATAGGGTAATATAACATGGGCATAAGATGAGAAGAAATGTCTCACATGGATATGCATAAGTTCTCTTGTGCTACCCTACTGATGTACAGTGATGCCTCATGAGTGCAAACTTTTGGTGATCACAAGGAGAGTAGGAATTTAGCAGGGTACAGTGTAGTATAGTACAGTACAGTACAGTACAGTACAGTACAGTATAGTATAGTATAGTATAGTATAGTATAGTATAGTATAGTATAGTATAATAGTATAGTGTAGTGTATAGTGTGGCATTTAGTATAGGTATAATATATAATATAGTTTAATATAAGGTATAGTGTAGCATATAGTGTAGTGTGGTATTTAGTATAGGAATAGTATTTAATAACGTTTAGTATATAGTATAGTGTAGTATAGTATATAGTATAGGTA